TTCAAGATTGCTGTGGCTATTCGAGGTCTTTTTTGGTTCCCCATGACCTTTTGAAGTATCTGTTCTAATTCTGTGAAGTACGCCGTTGGCATTTTGATAGGGATTGTATTGAATCTAGAGATTGCTTTGGGTAGTATTGACATTTTAATGATGTTAATTCTTCCGATCCATGAACAGGGTATGTGCTTCTACTTTTTTATATCTTCCTCTATTTCTTTTTTCAATGACCTGTAGTTTTCTGCAAATTGGTCCTTTATTTCTTTGATTAAGTTTATTCCTAGGTATCTTAATTTTTTTGCCACAATGGTAAATGGGATTGTTTTTCAGTTTCTCTTTCTGTGAGTTCATCATTGGTGTATAAGAATGGCATCGATTTCTTGACGTTAATTTTGTATCCTGCTACTTTTCCAAATTCATTTATGAAGTGTAGTAAATTTTTGCTAGAGTCTTTGAGATTTTCTACATATAGTATCATGTCATCTGCGAATAATGACAGTTTTACTTCCTCCTTTCCAATTTGGATACCTTTTATTTTTTCTTCCTGTCTGATTGCTGTGCCTAAGACTTCCAGTACTATGTTAAATAAGAGTGGCGAAAGTGGGCATCCTTGCCTTTTTCCTGCTTTTAAGGGAAATGCTTTTAGTTTCTGCCCTTTGAGTATGATGTTTGCTGTAGGTCTTTCACATATGGCCTTTATTATGTCAAGATATGATCCCACTATTCCCACATTGCTGAGTGTCTTTATCAGAAATGGATGCTAGATTTTGTCGAAGGATTTTTCAACATCTATTGATATGATCATGTGGTTTTTATTCTTCATTTTTTGGTGGTGTATCACGTATATTGATTTGCGAATATTGTACCAGCCTGGCATCCCTGGGATGAATCCCACTTGGTCATGGTGAATAATTTTTTGGTGTATTGCTGGATCCGATTTGCTAGTATTTTGTTCAGGATTTTGGCATCTATGTTCATTGGGGATATCGGCCTGTAGTTTTCTTTTTTGTAGTGTCTTTTTCTGGTTTTGGAATTAGAATTATGCTGGCTTCATAAAACGAATTTGGAAGTCTTTCTTCTCGAATTTTTTGAAATAGTTTGAGAAGAATGGGTGTTAGTTCTCCTTTGAATGTTCGGTAAAACTCCCCTGTGAAGCCATCCAGGCCTGGGCTTTTGTTTGCTGGGAGAGTCTTGATTACATCTTCAATTTCTTCTGTTGTTATTGGTCTTTTCAAATTTTCTATCTCTTCCTGGTCCAGTTTTGGGAGACTATGTGTTTCTAGAAATTAGTCCATTTCATTTAGATTGTCGAATTTGTTGCCATATAGTAGTTAACAATCTTTTGTATTTCTGTGGTGTCAGTTGTTACTTCTCCTCTTTCATTTCTGATTTTGTGAATTTGGGTTTTCTCTCTGTTTCTTGGTGAGTCTTGCTAAGGGGCCATCAATCGTGTTTATCTTTTCAAAAAAACAGCTTTGTTTCATTGATCCTTTGAATTGTTTTTTTGGACTCTATGTCGTTTATTTCTGCTGTGATCTTCACTATTTCCTTCTTTCTACTTGCTCTGGGTTTTTCTTTTTGTTTGCTCTCTAGTTCTTTAAGTTGTGAGGTTAGATAGTCTATTAGAGATTTTTCTTCTTTTTTTGAGGTAGACCTGTAGTGCTATGAACTTCCCTCTCAGAACTGGTTTCGCTCCATCCCATAGATTTTGTGTTGGTGTGTCTTCATTTTCATTGGTTTCCAGGAAGTGTTTAATTTCTTCCTTGATCTCCTCAGGAACCCATTCATTGTTCAATAATGTGCTATTTAGCTTCCATGTTTTCAAATGTCTTTGCATGTTCTTGTTGCAATTCATTTCTAGTTTCATGCCATTGTGATCTGAGAAGATGTTTGATATAATTTCAGTCTTCTTGAACTTGTAGAGACTCAATTTGTGTCCTAACATGTGGTCTGTCTTTGAGAATGTCCCATGTGCACTTGAGAAGAATGTGAAGTCTGTAGTTTTGGGGTGTAATTCTCTGTAGATATCTATTAAATCCATTTGATCTAGTGTTTCATTTTAGATTCTCAGTTTCCTTGTAATTTCTGTCTAGAGGATCTATCCAGTGATGTCAGCGGGGTGTTGAAGTCCCCTGCTATGATTGTATTGCTATCAATTTCTCCTTTGAAGTCTTCCAGAAGATTTTTAATATATTTTGGTGCTCCTATATTGGGTGCATATATGTTAACAAGGTTATATCTTCCTGTTGGATAGATCCTTTCAATATTATGTAGTGGCCTTCTTTGTCTGTAGTTATGGCCTTCATTTTGAAATCTATTTTATCAGATATGAGTATTGCTACCCCAGTTTTTTATTCCTTTCCCTTTGCTTGGAAGATTTTCTTCCATGCCTTCACTTTCAACCTATGTGAGTCTTTTGTTGTGAGGTGGGTCTCTTGTAAACAACATATAGATGAGTCATGCTCTCTTATCCAATCAGCTACACTGTGTCTTTTTATGGGAGCATTCAATCCATTTACATTTAAGGTGATTATTGATATGAACTTATTTATTGCCATTTTTGTTTAGTGTGGTTCTATTTTTCTTCCTATTTCTCCTGCTAATTATAGCAGTCCTTTTAACATTTCTTGCAGTGCTGGTTTGGTGCTAATGTATTCCCTTAGCCTTTTTTTGTCTGGGAAGCTCTTTATTTAACCTTGTATTTTGAATGATAGTCTTGCTGGGTAGAGTAGTCTTGGATTCAGATCCTTGTTTTTCATGACCTTGATTACCTCATGCCATTCCCTTCTGGCCTGTAGTGTTTCTGTTGAGAAGTCAGCTGAGAGCCTTCTGGGGTTTCCTTTGTAGGTAACCTGTTGTTTCTCTCGCTGCTTTTAGGATTCTCTCTTTGTCTTTAATTTTTGGCACTTTGATTACTATGTGTCTTGGGGTGGGCCTGTTTGGGTTCTTACTTTGGGCTCTCTGTACTTCTTGAACTTGAATGCCTTCTTCCTTCACCAAATTAGGGAAGTTTTCTGTCACTGTATCTTGAAATATATTCTCTAACCTTTGCTCATTTTCTTCTTCTTTGGGGACTCATATGAAGCGAACGTTATTACGTTTCCAGTTGTCTCACAGTTTTCTTAAGCCATTTTCCTGTTTTTTAAATTATTTTTTCCTTTTGGTTTTCTGATTGGTTGATTTTTTTTCTACTCTATCTTCTAATTCACTGATCCGGTCCACAGCTTCCTCTACTCTACTATTTAGACTTTCCAATGTGTTTTTCATTTCTGATATATCATTCTTCATTTCTTCTTGGTGGTTTTTAATTTCCAACTGGTTGATTTTTAACATTTCTATGTCTTTACTCATGGTGCTCATGTCCTTACACATGCTGTTGAGCTTCCTCAAGAAAGCTCAAGATCATGGCTCTGAATTCTAGTTCTGTTAAATTGCTTAACTGCACCTCATTTATCTCATCTTCAGTAGAGGTCTCTTGTTCTTTCATTTGGCCTTTGTTTCTGTGTTTTACCATTTTGGCTATCACAGTGGGCTTTGGAGCCTGCCAAATTTTCCCTGTGGGTGTTGGTGTTCTGCTGTTTGTGGCTCCCTGTCCTGGGTTTGGATGAGGCAGGGAGGACCCAATTTAACCACCACTGTCAGGTCTTACTTTCCTGGTTAGAGTTGCTAACCCAGGGAATGGTATTTATCCTCCAGCTTTTTTGCCTGGTGGCTATTCGTAGTTGACCTGAAGAACCTTGTTTTCTGAGTTGAGTGAAAAACTCCCTCAGGTGCTCAGTGTAAGAGGATTTTCCGAGGGTGGGGCAGATGCTGGTTGTAATGGGTCTCATTTAGCATTTCAATGGCCACCAGGTGTGGTTGAATCTCTGAGGGAGGTAACACTGCCTCTCCCCAGGGCCCTGGGAAGGAGTAAGATGACCACAGTGCTGTGTGGCTGCAACTCAGCAAAAGCTCTGAGCGCCCTCCAAATCCCGAGTGTCCCCACACAGTTCCAGTCCAGTCTGCCCTCCCTCTGCTGGAGCCCAAGGTGATTGGCTGGTGCTAATTTAGCCTCTGTCCCAGCTCTGCGCTGTGGAGTTGCCTGGGACTTTAACCAGAGGGTGCTGCTCCCAGCTAAGGCAGTTGCTTCGGCAGAGGCTGCGGCAGCTCCCAGCCGAGGGCGTAGCACCTAGCCGAGGCCGCAGGTCCCAGCCGAGCCCACAGCTCCCAGCCCAGGCTGCTGGGGACCGTGGGCTCCAGGCCCCCTCTCGCGTCTTCACAAGCCTACCAGGACTGAGTCAGTGTCCCTGGTTATGTGGTCCTCTAAGCTGCTTTTCGGTTGCCTTTTCCTGACGATTTGTCTTTATTTTCGTTGTAATTCCAGTTTGGTCCTGGGAGATGGTCTGTGTAGCTTCCATTCACTCCGCTGCCATTTTCCTAGTCTTACATTTTAGTTTTAATTAATTTATTTTGTTACAGATGTTTTACTAAACTCATTTCAAAGATAGAGAAACTGAGTCTTAGAAAAATTAAGCAACTTTTCCAAAGTAAGTCACATAGTTAATAAATGTCAGAGCTGTCTGCTGACCCCAGGTCAATTTAAGTCCACGCACCAGGCTCTTAACCACTATGCTATACTGCCTAAATGAAGAACTTCACATAGGTCCAAAAGACCTGCATTCAAACCCATTCACTTCATTTATAAGCTGGGCAACCTTGGACAAGTCACTCAATCTCTTCAAGTCTTGCTTTTCTCATCTATAAAAATAAAGAATATAATTCCTACCTCATTCACAGAGTTGCTTCAGGGTTTAAAGGAGATAATGTAAGGTAAGGTTCTATACATGTCAAACACTGCTTGCTATTTATAAGAGCATTCTGGAATTTGAGTTCAAATGAGTGATGTCAGTCTTCAAGAAGAAAACAACTAAACTGGAAAAAACATCTTAAGGTAAACATAAAAACAACAGGAATAAAAGGTATCATTTTTTCTGAGAACAGGCAGAATATCTGTCAAATATTACCTGGTTCCATGAGCTCCATGGGGCCCTCATTTTCAGTCATCATTTTCTCTGGCAGATTACTTGTAGATACACAGAAAGGAACTGAACTCGGGGAAAAACTAACTGGCGACTCAAGAGTCCCTTTAATGGGAGGTAGTGTTTGTGTCATTTGAAGAGAATCTGGGGATGCCTCCTTTAAAATAAAAGGTTAAATAAACTGTTAGATGATGTTATATATTTAATATAGACATCACATGCTCTGTGGTTGCTAAAAATATTTTAAAAAGTTCAAAGTTGGCCAACGTCCCACACCATTCACTTTATACAATCTCCAAGGGTTCAAAACTGTTTTGTTCTGTTGTCTCTGTATCAAAGTTGCTCTAAATTGTCAATTTGAAAGCCTGTTTTTCACATGACGGGGAAAAGTATATGTTTGTTTTTTCTGCCTTACTTGAGAAACAAAAAATTACTCATGAGACATAAACAAACAACAACTAGGAAATACTTATGGGATATTTCTCAATCTTTCCATACTTTGCCATAATAAAAAGTCAAACTTAACCTTTTACCTCAAAAGGAATACATTTTGCAACTCAAACTTATTTTTTTTTTAAAGGAATGTCTCTTATAAAACTTATTTGGCATTTTATTTTTTTAAAATATTAGTATCATTGAAATAATTTTAAAGCCCAGAATAAGGCTCTCTAAATTTAATTGAGAAAAAAATATCTCCTTTCTCAAACTGAAGTCCTTATTTCTTTGTTTTCCATGTTTCATTGTTTACAGTATATATATATAACCTACTGCTCATGAGATATAACTAAAAGATGAAAGTAAAGTAAAAGTCAATGCACATATAGTTGAGAAAACAACTCAGCATTCAATCTGAGGTGATAAGACAGTGATAAATATCACTGTCTATAAGCCAAGGTTATGCAGAATAATTTGAATTTTCTAATTTGTATGTTGAACAGCTTAACTGAGCTCCCTTTAAAAGTTATAAGTCCTCAACTTTAATAATTTTATTTAGTAAATGTATCTGGCAAGACCCTTCATATATTTAAAAAGAAATGGATTTTTTTCTTTCAGTTTCTTTGCAGTACTAGACAATATTATTACATAATTAGGCCACAATTGTACCCTCTCTCTTCGACGAACACGTGCTGATAAAGTTCTATGGAATATGTTTCCCGAGGTCAGGTTGCTAACGGGCAAAGAAGTTGCTTCAGGTATACGAGAATCACAAATTTTTCCAAGTTCAATGTGTTCCATAACAAGTCGTGGAGTGGCAAAAACTACCATGTGACATCCACCACAGGCAACCTACAGCATAAATCCAAAGATAAATTAATTGACACTGGCTTCAAATACAAATAAGTTTTTAACAGTATTCAGCTACAAAACATTTACTTAGTGGTAGACTTTCTATACTGAATGACTCTCTCTGTATATATAGACCTATAGACACACGCACACACACAAATATATATATGAAGTGTAATATACAGTTGACCTTTGAACAACACAGGATTGAACTCCACGGGACCACTTATATGTTGATTTTTTAAAAATAAATGACAGTCAGTCCTCCATATCCTCGAGTTTCACATTCATGGAGTCAACCAACCGTGGATTGAAAACAGTATTTCCAATCTACAGCTGGGAATCCACAGATACAGAGGGCCAACTGCATGAATTGTTATAGCCATTTTAAATAGGGACTTGAGTATTTGTGGATGTTGTTTTCTGTGGCAGGTCCTGGAACCAATCCCCTGTGGATACCAAGGGATGATTGTAGTTAAGTTTCTGGGAAGTCAAAAGTGATACATGGATTTTCTATTTTGTGGGGTCAGCTTCCCTAACCCCTGAGTTGTTCAAGGGTCAATTGCATATTCTTTAAACACTATGACTGAAAATTAGAACAAGCTTAACATACCAATTTACTTTCAATTTGATATAGTATAAAGAAAAAACTAAATGTAATGTTACGATTCCCCTTAAAAGTTAGAAAATGTTATTTTAATCTGAGAGCAACATGTTAATTACTTGAAAAAATTACTCAGAGAAATTCTACTTGGAAAAAGTTTATCTGAGAATAAATCAGTCTCTTGGGCTAATTATGTCTCCAAGCCTTTTTTCTTTACATGAACATTTTTAAAAGTCCTTAGACCAAAATGCAAGCATCCACGATGATGGAACAATGAAAAATAAAATCAGCCTGGCCGGTGTGGCTCAGTGGATTGAGCGTCGTCCCATGCACTGAGAGGTTGCTGGTTTGATTCCCAGTCAGGGCACATGCCCAGGTTGTGGGCTTAATCTCTAGTATGAGGCATGCAGGAGGCAACCAATCGAGGTTTCTCTCTCATCAATGTTTCTATCTCTCTTCCCCTCTCCCTTGCTATCTAAAAAAATCAATAAAAATATTTAAAAAAATAAACATTCAAAGGATTTTGAGAAATAACTGATTTTCAATAAAGTTCTTAGAAAACCATTGTGTAGTATTTGCAATATACAGATTTTTATCAACTTTATAGTATACATGGTGGCATAAGGATAGCATATTCTGAACCTTTCCTTTATACTATTTTCAAAGTTAAAATTTATATATGCTATATAGCACTTTAAAAAATGACCTTCCATACAAGACTATAAGGAGGATTTGATTATTTTTTTCATCATTGTATGCTTTGCATTCCTTATACTCAGTCAGTATCTTGTTCAGAGCAGGGGTTCATTAAGTGATTACCAAATTAAAGAATGGAAATATTCTATAGTATTAGGCACTGAGTTTTTGGAAAACAAATTTCAAGTGATATAACAGTCACCAAAGAAACAGAATTTTCAAGTCTGTAGTTCTTAATTGGCAAGACTCTTTATTAATTATCAGATGTTCTCTTGTGCAGAATTTGAGAGTCTTAATGATATCTAATTCAACAAATATTTATAGATGACTACTGTGAGTAAAGTACTCTGCTGGGTGCTATAGCAGTCACAAAGCTTTCAGACATGGCACAGTCCTGGCTTTAAAGAAACATATGAAAATAGAATAGTCAAAATTAGGACAAAAAGATGTTAAGGGAGGAAAATTAGGAAAAGGACAAATTTTCAGAGTAACATGATGTCTGTTTGACCTTTAGGAAATGAGTATTATTTAGATATATTCATGGTATTCTTTCATATAAATATAAAAATACTTATTTTCTATAAAATACTGAAAGACTCAAATAAAGGAATATGAAAATATAAACAGGGAAATGCAATACTCCTACCAAATAAACTTTAAATCTCAAAAAATTAGAGCACAAAGTAGGAACAAACTGATTGGTAAAATTCTCCATTCCAAGTCCTAATTTTCCGTATCGACCGTCTCCAAAAGTATACATACGGCCTATATCTAAAATGCAAAGAAGAGAGAATTAGGTGTTACTTGTATGAATTTATTTGTAAATAGACTAATATATTAACTTGCATTTCAATTTTAACTTTCCCCTCAAATTCTGCACTGAATTTACCCTGATCCATTGATGTTTCCATACTCTCTATGGTCCTGCACATAACATTACATAATAGATACTCTGAGAGTAAATCACTGAGCCCTTGGTGGTTTGTAAAGTTGAAATCCAGTTGCGTGAGGCCTTGTGTGGAATAACAGGAATCCAGCATGAGATCTCATCAGCAATCCAGCATCTTCTCAAGAGGAAGGAGATTTTATATTCTGACCCCTTATATTCCAATACAACCTATTTTCTTTGTTTCCTCAGTTCATTGATTAGATCAAGGTTTCTCAACCTTGGTACTACTGACATTTGGGATCAGATACTTATTGATTGTATAGCTTTGTCCTATGCATTGTACGATGTTTAGCAGCATAACTGGCCTCTACTTACTAAATGCCCATAGACTACCCCACCTCTGCAGTGTAACCATCAAAAATGTCTCCAGACATTGCCATATGCCCTTGGGGGAACAAAATCACCACTGGTAGAAAACTACTGGCTTAGATCAATCCCGCTGTCTCTTTTACTAGTTCTGTTCCTAGGCTGTGGAATGCTGCTGACGGAGATGCCATAAACCAACCATGCCGATTAATCCCTATACCAATACTGGGCGTCCCCTATATAGGTGGACCCACAATGATGGTGAGTAATCTTGTCACTTCTCCCACTGCTGTAGCAGCTATTCTGAATCTTCACTACTCAATTCATTCCTTCATAACCTCCATCTCAAGTGGGGTAAGTGCCATGGAAGCAAAAGTAAAGGGAAAGGTGTCAGTATGGGTGCAGAGGAAGGAGATTTCCCACTAGTCTGGGGATTAGGGAAGGCTTTCAAACTGGAGTGTAAAGGATGATTAGTTTAGCTGCAAGAAGGGAGCAAAGAATCTTCCAGGCCAAGTCAGCAGTATGTACAAAGGCTCTGAATCAAGAAAAAACAGCGTAGTCAAGAAGCTGAAAGGCAACCAATGTGCCTGTAGCACAAGGGCAGAGTGGTATGAGATGAGTCTGAAAAGGTAAGAAGGAATCACAATACAGAGAATTCTGTTAGTTCATCTTAAGAATTTCTGAACCCTATCCTAAAGCCAATAATAAGCTCAATGAATGGTTTTAAGCCAGAGAATGATAAGATCACATTGGGAACTTCTAGTTTAAGATAGTGAAGTAATTGCACACTAAGAAAATCCAAGAGGACTGACTGAAAAAATGATTAGAAATAACATAATTCAGTAAAGTGGGAAGTTCAAAAATTAATACATAAAATTAAATAGATTCCCTACAAATCAGCAATAACCAGCTTAGGCTCTAAATTTATACTTTTATAATTCTTACTACTAGGTATTTATTTCCTTTCTTTATATATATTCCTTATCATCCCTTTTCCTTCCTCCTTCCTTTGATCCCAATTTCTTTATCCAAAATGTTTTTCAAGGTTTTCTCTTTTAATTTGATTATCTTTAGCCAAGAAAAATAAACTCTGATCCAAGCTGCCTGACTCCACTCTCCACTTTCAACCTCAAAGAGCTTTTTAAAATATGAGCCATTGGCTATAATGTGGAACTGGGAAGAACTTACAGATAACTCACTGCATACCTCTCATAAATTCTGGAGAAAAAATATTCATAACACATATCCCCTGTGGAGAATACATGAACCAAAAGGCAAACAAAGTTAATGTTCAATTATTTGTGCTATAACTTCTTTCATCAGGAGCAAAGGTATTCTGAAACTTTAATCAAGTAATCTGTATGTTAAATGACCCATAAAAAGTGTGTATTTACCATCAATTGCAATTTAGAATTGATGTAAAATGGCAGTAAGGGCAGAGAAACTGAAATTAAGATTCTGTAGTAAGGAATATATACATATCAACAACAATCCTAGGACTATGAATGAATAGTAATTCTTTACATTGTATATACATGTTCTATTTCATGCTATATTAACAAAGATCAGCACTTGAAAATGGGCAGGTAGGTCTCCTTGAAAGGTTCTTTGGTGAAAAAGGGACAGTGCTCGTATTTGCTGACTCCTAGTTCCCCTAACCAGACACCATTAGATGAGCTCCACTGTAGCAGTAGCTTTTTTAAAAGAAGGAAAAATATGTAGAAATACTGATATCTGGATTATTCTAAAATACTAAATGATTTCTAACTTTTTTTGTTCTGTCCAGGAAGCATTTTACTGTTGCTCCAAGTTTAAGAATTTCACTGACAGAAAATCAGCACTTTCAGAAAACCCCCCGCATAGCCTTGCTCAGCTTCTGAATCTTGGTCTTTGCAGACATGTCGACATACTTCTCTCCAATACGGACAATCATTCCACCCATGACTTATGGGTCAGTCTTAACTTCCATTTTTAACACTTGGCCTTTACTCAGGAAGCTGTTCAGGACCGTTTTTAATTCACAAAGACTGGCATCATCTAAAGGAGACGCAGTGGTCACTGTGCATGGGACTTCTCCACGGTGGATGCTCATCATGGTAGAAAAGACAGAGATGACGGCAGGGGTACTGGTCAAGCGACCATTCTCAGCAAGCAAATTGATCAGGTTGGATGTGAGGGGAGAGAACTTCTCCTTCATGGTCATGTCATTCAGGCTTTTCACTTTAATCGAACGCTTTGTAAAGGGATTCAGAATCGAAGCAGCCATTTTGGGTTCCTTCAAGATTTGTGCTACGCTTAGCAATTCCTTTTCCACCTGCTCCAGTTTATTGTTTAGATGCAGCAGAATAAAGGGCAGTGGCATAGCGGCCATTGACACCATACACCTGAACAGGTGGCCGAACCAGTTTGGCAAATGGCCTGGCCACAGACGTGCTGAAGCATCGCACCTGCCGGGAGAGCCCAGACACTGCTGGGGAGGCCATGTTCTTGATTTCTAACTTTTTAATGCTTTACTTCATTTTAGATAGAAATGTGAGCTGAAAATAGTGAAATTACAGAGCCTTTTGTTCTAAAGCAATTAAAATTGTGGAGTATATCAATTACCTACAAGTAACTGAGTTACTTATTTTAGGGAAGGATCTTTATTGAATCCTACATTAGCAGCACCTAGTTTCTGAAGTTGGTAAGTCAGCCCAATGCAGCATCTCCCTGGATTAAAGGAGAAAGTACAGAGTGGAGGATCTAGAGGACCCAGGTATTCACTTCATGGTCTTGGAAGTACCTTTCTATTACTGTGGAGCAAGTAGGAAAGGGTCATTCCTGAAAACACCTCTTAGTGGCAAGAGCATCATAAGAATTTACTGGTGAGGACATGAAGAAAAAGGAACCCTAGTATACTGCTGGTGGGAATGCAGACTGGTACAGCCACAATAGAAAACAGTGTGGTGTTTCCTCAAAAAATTAAAAATAAAACTGCCTTTTGACCCAGTGATCCCATGTCTAGGAATATATCCTAAGAATCTTGAAATACCAATCAGAAAGAATATATGCACCCTTATATTCATAGCAGCATTATTTACTATGGCTAAGACCTGGAAAAAGCCCAAGTGCCCATCAACAGATGAGCAGATAAAAGAGCTGCCGTACATTTACATAATGGAATACTATGCAGCTGTAAAATAAAAAGAAGGACCTCTTACCCTTTGAGACAGCATGAAGGGACCTGGAGATGATTATACTATGTGAAATAAGCCAGTTAGAGAAAGACAAATATTACATGTTCTCACTTATATGTGGAATCTAATGGACAAAATAAATTGATGAACTAAATAAATCCAGGGGCATGGAAGCATGGAACAGACTGATGAATCTCAGAGGGAAGGGGGGTTGGGGGTGGTGGAAAGAGATTAACCAAATAACTTTATGCAAATATGCATTGCCCATGGTCACAGACAATAGTACAGTGAAGGGCTGGGGTGGGGTGAGAACTGGGTGAAGGGGAGCAATGGGGGGGATAAAGGGGTCACCTTTAACACTCTCCACAATAAAGATTAAAAAATACACTTACTCAGTCTAAATGTAGCTCTATCAGATTGGACAGGGAGAATATTTTAAAATAAGTTCATTTTTCCTAGTGAATAGAGCTAGGAAATATAAAATTGTACTCTTGAAACCCATATAATTTTATTAACCAATTCCACCCCAATAAAATTAATAAAAATTGAAATAATAGTAATAAGTATACACAAAATAAGTTTTTTCTTGTAATACTTTGCCCTCTGGCCTGAGCAGAGTTAAAAACCTTCAAATAGATACAATTTCAAAATGATTCAGCTTTCTGCCAAAATATAACACTATGGTCTTATCTCTGACACTACTGACATATTCTGAGGTTCTGAATCTTTGAATCATTTACATTGACATGAAACGGAATTAAAATTTAAAAGGAGTTTACAACTTTATATTCTAGCATATTAAAGGAATTCAAATTTCTCAGTTATGAATTCCTTTGTTTAAGTACAGTATTTATTTTGTAATAAAATATACCCAGTTCTATAAATATATACTGGAAATCTGATCTGTACCTGTTATCAAAGCTGTGTGATTTTCTCCACAGGAAATATAAGTTATTTTGTGGTCTTTAACAGATTCAATGATTTTGGGTTCCCAGGATTCAAAGACAACAGTGCCAAGACCCAGCTGACCAAACTGTCCCAGCCCAAAGGTGTACACGCCTTTCTCTGAAAGGGAAAGGGCAAATATAAGAAAAGGATTGCAAGGAAGCAGACACTGTAACCATTATATATAGAAAAACTGTGATATTCAACCTTTCACAATTAAGATTAAGTATTTCTGAAAGAATGCCCATATAAGAATACCTAATACTTAAGTATACATTTCTCAATGATGAAGGAAGAAGAAAAATGACAGGGTACACAACTGAAAAAACAAAACCAAACAAAAAAAAAAAAACAACTCTTTCATCTAAGAACATTACATATAACAACTAATAAAATTTTGGGTCATATCACCTTTTTAACATTTAACAATGTAATTCAATGTTAATAAATAAAACTATATTAGAAAAACAGATTTTCATTAGTTGGCTTCAGATCAATACTATTCTGATTTCACAGAATACATTTTGATTTCATGACTAGTATCTTGTTGCCCTGTAGAGATTTTAAGTTTGTCCAAACATAATCTGAAGAAGTTAAATTCTTATTTTTCTTGGGATCCAGATTTCATTGAGGACCCCATCTGATAACCAGGCCTTTCTTATCTTTTGGTAACTGCTGAGGATGACATACAAGAGACTTTCTCAATACCAGTCCATTGTTTCACTGATTCTAAGGAGAAACTAATCATACCATCACTATAACCAGTAATTGTATTTTCTAATCTATCGTCACATTTAAATACTATGTTTTAAATAAATTCATCAGCAATGAACCAATTTGAATTATCTTTGAATTATTTTAATGAATGATATCGAAATAGATGTTAAGATCAAAGTTATAGACGTAAGGAAAAACAAAGCTGGGAAAGACCCCCATAGAATCATCTAGTTCAAGTCCTTTACTTTAGTGAAGGGGAATAATTTAGAACAGATAGTTAGCTATTCTTTCCTTAAAGGTCTTGCAAAGTATTCTATAACTCTTAGGTATTCAATTTAAAAATTAGTAAAACTGATGGTCAATACACTTTTCAGGTCCATTTCTACATTAGGACTAAATATTTAACCTTTCTGTCCAAACTGTGCTCCAGAATACCAGTTTCTCATCAGGACTAGCTCATAGTAAAGATCTCATAGGTCCATGGTGAAATGTGAAAAATAGGCAAAGTAGTGAATTTTTCAAACAGATACATTTATACAATTTTATTAAAAAAATTAAGAGCTTGCCCAGCTGGGGTGGCTCAGTGGATTGAGTGCCGTGCCATGGACTGAGAGGTCCTGGTTCAATTCCCAGTCAGAGCACATGCATTCCTGGTAGGGGATTTGCAAGAAGCAGCCAATTGATGTTTCTCTGTCACATCAATGTTTCTATCTCTCTCTCCCTTCCTCTCTCTCTCTAAAATAAATAAATAAATCAATAAAAACATATTTAAAAAAATTAAGAACTTTCTAACTTTTGTTTGAAAATTCCCCTTATATTATGATATAATAGTGAAAACATTGCATTTTTTTGCTATGTCCATATTTAGCCAAATGAAAATCAAAATCTGGCAACCATATATAAACCTTCATATTTTTATAAAACAAAAAACATAAAATATAAAAACTTTACTGGTCTATAAGGTCACCAAGTATACAAAAATCTGCAGACAACAATCAGTTTCCGGCAAGATAGCTTTTAACTACAAAACAAAGTCAACAGGAAGCTAAATGTCTATAATAGTATAAGAAAATATCGCACTTACATGCTTTTAAAATTTTAAGTATAATGAAGTGTACCACAGATGATCTTGGTTCTCATTTTACATGAAAATATTTTATAATGTATGGTTGAATGACATTATTATTATACAATCATATCTGTGTCCTTTAGAAACTCCAATCACCTAATAATTTTATTCTTTCTGTAATCTTTGTATAAACTACATAAAATATGTAACAAAGTATAAGTTGCATTTCTGCCTATAGAAAGAATTTTCAGATAATTTACAAAGATTAATTTCAAAGTTTAATTCCTAAAATATTTTTGAAAATATATTAAAATTAATTTTGCTAACAAAAGTTTTTTTAATCTTAAACTTCAAAACTATTTCCAAATTTTGAGTGGAAGACTTGAAAAAAATTATTTCTAATTTGGAATAAGATTCTATCTGGAAATTGTAATTCTGGTAAACCACAGCTTAATAAGCAAGACAGGGACTAGAACAAGAAGCTAAGGAAAAGCTATGTGAGAAAGGAAAATCTAAAGATAAAATATTGCTCAATCACACTGTAATATTAAGCATATCATCTGAGAATTGGATATTATTCAAAATTTGTCTAGAATACTTCTAACTTTGGGATTACTGAAAATTAATGGTGATTTCAGAAACTGTTCATTTCTTTTTAACCAAAAAAAACAACAACCATAATTTACTACTTAACTACATTACTTCTATACTACTAATCTAAAGTAAAGGTAATGCTACACAAATTTAGGAACATAAATGTAGTAAGCATATTATTAAGTAGTATTTCTTTTTTTTTTATCCTCACTCGAGGACATTTTTCCATTTTTTGTTCAGATAGAGCGGGAGGGAGAGAGAGGAAGAGAGAGAGAGAGAAACATCGATGTGAAGGGACACATCGAGTGGCTGCCACCCGCACGACCAACCAGGGCCGGGGACAAACTGCAACCGAGGTATGTGCCCTTAGCGGGAACCGAACTCGGGTCTCTCTGTACCGCAGGCCGACGCTCCAACCGCTGAGCCAAACCGGCCAGGGCTTAAGTAGTATTTCTTAATATATTAACTAGAATCCTGAGAAATGACATGTCATACCAAATACAAAATTCAAAAGCCAAAAGTGACATTACTATTAAGGTTCTAACCATCATATATTATATGTAATTTAACATCTTAACACTTTTTAATGAATTACTATAATAGAACATAGAAGTCACCAAGTTATACATAGTGAATGCCACAAAGAAAAGAATTATCAATGACTGTACAAACAGTATGAAAAGGGAGCTTCTCCAAAAGAAAATATCTCCTTAAAGGTATCAATTTTAGGTAACTATGGAATATAATATATATATACACGTATATGAAACACATATATATATATTTCCATACACATATTGAAAACAGTTTGTCCTTAAAAATGAGCTAAAAACATGCATTTGATGCCATTAAAGGTATTAAGATTATGAAAATATCAATTATGTTAGCAAAAACAATTCAACAAGATTCATTTTTTTCTACTTAAGAAATTCTTTCATAGGCCAGAAATATATATATTAACTACAGGAATAAAAGGTGAAGATCTTAACAGAAAAAGATTCAAGGTCAATTTATATGAGCTATCTAAAACAGTCAAACTCACAGAAACAGAGAATAGAATGGTGGTTGCCAGAAACTGAGAGAGGGGAGAGGAGAGCAGCTAGTCGATAGTATAAAACTTTCAGCTATGCAAGGTAAGTTCTAGTGATTCACCATATAACACTGTGCCTATAGATAGTACTGTACTGTACAATTAAAATCACTTGAGGGCAAATCAAATGATAAGTGTTCTTACCACAATAAAAAAGGAATATATATTTTTATTTTCATTAGCCACCACAGAAAGCAAGAAACAGAGCAGCAAGGTCCACACATACCTGTGAGAACCACTGTGTGCCCTCCACCACAAGCTACTTGGATCACTTTCTTGGGAATTCCAGGCACCAGCTGGGGCACTTTGTGATTCACCAGTAGCTGTTTGGGAAGACCTAACTTCCCACACTCAGTTTCTCCAAATGTATACAGTTCTCCCTCTACTATTAAAGGAAAAGAACAGTGATCAATGACGACATAAACACAGACAAGATACTGGTCTTTTTAGTACATAGTCTCATGTTCATTTAAAAATTTAGAAAATGGTCCGGCCAGTGTGGCTCAGTGGTTGAGCGTAGACCCATGCACTGAGAGGTCGCCGGTTCAATTCCCGGTCAGGACACATGCCTAGGTTGTGGGCCTGATTCCTCAGTGGGGGCATGCAGGAGGCAGCCAAGCAATGTTCTCTCTCATCGATGTTTCTCTCTCTCTCTTTCCCTCTCATTTTCCCTCTCTCTCTAAAATCAATAAAGGAAAAAAAATTAAAAATTTAGAAAATGGCAACTTGATAAATTTGAACTTTCCTGAGGTATTTTTACTGTATGGTGAGAAATAAAGGCAGATTTAATTTTCCCTTTGATTATTCTAGTACAAAATCTTCACAAAGAATTCATAATCATCACTACTAAAAAATAACTAGAAAATTATTTTATCTGTTTAACAAGAGAAGACTATCTTCTACTTCCTTTTAATAAAGCAAAATGACCAGACATTTGCCCCCATAAGGACACAGATTTTGTTTTGCTCATTAAGGTATTCAAAAAACCTAGCAGTGTCTATTACACTGAGCATTTAATGAATAGTTATTGAATAATTGCTTTGCTTTTTTAAAAAAATTATTTACTTTTGTTACAGATGTTTCTTTTTCCCCCATTGAATACTTTTTATGAAAATTATTTCAGAACACTCATTTATATGTGAGTATATTATACGAGTCTTAAGATAACAGATTTTACTGTTAGATGGTACTCTTCCTCCAGACTCTTATCAAGAAACCTCTGACATTTAATCACTGCCTTGTCAATACCAACACTGTTGACTTGCTTCTGTTATTACACTACACTTCTGTTATAATATGACTATGAACTTCCTGAAAGTAGGAATTTTTGTTTATTTCTATGAACTAAACTGAGTTCTATAAAGTAGGAATTTAAAAACCTTTGTAAATATATAATATAATCTAAAAAAATGATACAGAACATATCACCACTGGTGTGAAAAAAGAGGTAACAGCAGGTCTCATTGTTTATTAATTGCATGTCTCCAAGAGAACCATGATTGACTTTGACCAACCCCCTGGGAATATGGCCCTTGTAGTGTTCTTTATGTCAGTGATTGATAATTTTATGTACAGCTGGAACAATGATTTATGCCAGCTTAGCTTTTTAGGGTCGCTTTGCACTAACAGCAACGTTGATGAAGTACCTGATTTCACTGTTGATGGGCCTGAGTTCAAATGCTGTGGCCAGTTGCTAGCAGGATGTGACTATATGACCAGTGCCCCACATAAAAGCCTCAGACCTTGAGACTTGGGCAGAGACATGCCACACATGTCCCTGAAGTTTGCCGCCAAAGAGAAAGCGTATCCTGTGCGACCTGGGAGGAGGAAGAACTAAGAAACCTATGCTGGACCTCTCTAGATTCCACCGTTGTTGCTTTTGTTCTGTATCCTTTCCTGTAATAAATCTTAGCCATGAATATAACCTGCTATTAAAGCTGGAGAGTCCTAGCAAATCATAGCACTTAGAAAAGCTATGAGACATCCAACACACATGTTATGCACTGCTTAAAACTTGGTCAAACATGGGACGAATATATTATACACCAGCTATACTTTAACTTAAAAAGCTCAAATACTGCAAACCTAGCTATACTAATTTTTTTTCAGTTTTTTATGAAGTATTTAGCAAACACTGGCACAGAAGAGATGTTCAGTAAGTCAGCACCCTTCCCCCTTTTCCCATGCCTTTTGCCTCTCACATGAAACAAGTTACTAAGTCCAGAAGAGGCTCTTTGCACCTGTCTATAAATTTCTGCTGCTCCTTGTACCTTAACATGGTGAAATGTGTGATATGTAAGCTATATCTCAATAAAGCTATTTTTTAAAGACATAAAAACAATAAACCAAAGCAAAAAAGCTCAATTTAACACTTGTTAGTTAAGATGAACAACTCTACTTCTTCCCCTACTGGCTAATGCAGAGTTTAGTCATAAAAGTGATTCTGACAGTTTTATTAAAACCTAAATATAAGACAATGCTTTTGTTTGTTTTGACTGTTTTTCTATTTGTGTTTTTCCTTTTTGTTTTGTTTTATGAACAAAGTGAGCACAGACTACACCAAACCCAGGGCCCTAAAGTTACTAATAAGTTGGTAGGTAGTATTGCCCCCAGAAACACAATCAATTGGTCATTCATTCACTTACTCCCTCATTCCACAATATCTGTCGATTACCAGTTTGTTCAAGATACAAAATGATCTAGTTAGTGGTGAACAACACCAACCAAGTTGTATTTTGCCATCTCTTGGTACCAAGCTACTACCAATTCACTGTTAAGTCTGAGGAGCACTGAGACAAGTCATCTGGCACTGTCTAAAATTAAATCTGAGGTCTGTGGAATATGGAGTAAATGTATAAGCAAAAATCTAGAGGGATATCTAAGAGGGGCCACAAAACTATTTCCTCTAGGAGTTTTACTGTTAGAAAAACCATCAATAAGATGAAAAGCCACAATCAGAGTGTAGATGTAGATTACAATAGAGTCAAATATATCAAATATTTTAACTAAGGTAGAAACAGTAGCCAGTGAGCCCAGGAAAGGGAGAAATTTAGGATGCTGAGAAAAGTCTCACCAAAGGAAATCATATCCCATACTGACCTCTCTTCTCTTCCATCTAGTCTTTATCCTTGTTCCCATAATGAAAGTCTATGCCTCACTTATTGAAACAATAAAAGCAAATTATCAGGACAAGAATAGAATAGGTCAAAATACAGAGGCAAGTAAATCCAGAGGAAAGTGGCCCATAGGTCTTGTTTTTCATGCCAAATGATCCCAAGAAGTTTGAGATCCAAAACTTAGAAGGGTTTCTTTTTTTTTTTTTTTTTAATCCTCAACCGAGGACATTTTTCCATTTTTTGTACAGATAGAGTGGGAGGGAGAGAGAGGAAGGGAGAGAGAGCGAGAAACATCGACGTGAAGGGACACATCGAGTGGCTGCCACCTGCACGACCAACCAGGGCCGGGGACAAACTGCAACCGAAGTACGTGCCCTTAGCGGGAACCGAACCCGGGTCTCTCCGGACCGCAGGCTGACGCTCTAACCGCTGAGCCAAACTGGCCAGGGCCAAAACTTAGAATGGTTTCTAACATATAAATTCTATTTTTCTAATATACCTAATATTCATTAAAAAGTTAACAAGTCATAGAGAGTTTAAAATTATAAAATGTCACTAATGAAATGAAGAAATACTGTTTTAAAACAGATAAAAATTATTTCATTACATGGACTACCATGGCATTATTTCTATGGAACTGTAAAATGCTATATTTTATTATTAACTAATAACTTTTTTTTCCCAGACAGAGCGGGAAGGAGAGAGGGGGAAAGAGAGAGAGAGAAACATCAATGTGAGAGCGACACATCGACTGGCTGCCCACCCACGCAACCCCAATCGGTGCTGGGGACAAACTGCAACCGAGGTACGTGCCCTTAGCGGGAACTGAACCCCGGACTCTCTGGTCTGCAGGGCCCACGCTCTAACCACTAAGCAAACTGGCCAGGGCTATTAACTAATAAATTTAAAATGGGAGATAACGTGATGAATCCAAATGTTCTGTCTTACTTGTTACAAAAGCTGAATGGTAATATCCACAAGAGATCCAGGCAATAGGTTTCCCAACAGTCACTTGATGAGGAACATATACATTAGACACATTATCTAAGCCAATCTGCCCTTCAGAATTTTCTCCCCACATAAACAGTTTTCCATCCTCTATAAAGAAAACACAAAGAGGAATAAAGGTTTTTAAAAATGGCAAGTGTATGAAGTTACTATATTTCCAACAGACAATTTATTTCTTTAATTTAGAAAATTATGTCTTGAAAGAAAAGTATTCCTAAGACATTTATACGTTAGCTACTTAACGTTCTATTTCTAGTATAAAATGTCTCTATAATGCTAAAGAACATAGAATAACCTGATCTAAATCACTTTACTCATGCCCATATTTTTATCTTAATAGCAAAGACAGAATTTTCTTTCTTATAATAACCTTTTCTTATTTTAATGTCTCTAAACAGAAAATAGTTTCCTCCTTTTGAGCAGTCTACCTGTACATGAAATAAATGATACCATAAGTCACACTGGACACCATCTCCTAGGCAAGTCCCAGGTCAAAGTGCCTGGAAGACGTGGCTCTGAAAACACTGGGAAATGATGCTTTAAAGAAAGAAAAAATAAAATAAATGTATTTCCCTAACATTTTTTTACAATTTATATTTGAAAACATATAGTCCAGCTTAAGATAATCAAGAGATATATTAGTATACATAGCATCTCAAATACAACTTATTCCTTCTGATAAGTGATATGATATCAGGAAAAGCTAAACTAGGAAAACATTTTAGAAATAAATCATCAAGACTTATCTTTTGATTGATTTAAAAATTAATCTTTGAAGTGAGTCAATAAGTCAAATAAACAAACTGAACATAAGAACCAAAAGAAAGATGTCAAAGTGCTAACTGTACTGCAGACAGAACTGAAGGATGGGGCCTCAGAGTTGACTCTGGCTCTCCTGACAGCCAGAGAAACACCATAAGTTACAGAGTTCTCCAGACTGGGACAAAGAAGCACACCAGCAGCTTCTTCAATGAAACCAGGTTTATCCTGGCTCCACATTTTAAAGAAGTTCCTCATATATGCTTCTGATAGGGACACAGAGAGATACCATGACCATTACAAATTGTATTTTAACATATATCCAACAGACTTCTATGATGTTTCTAACCACAACTTCATTAAAGCTTAAGTATAATTTTTAGAATATCATAAAGATAAAATTTAAGAATATCACATGAGCTAAGAATTTAACTATTATGTTCAAAATATATGTTGACATCTAATTCTAAATAAGCATAAAATTATAACACATGTCATGGTTTAAAGTTCTATTTGAAATGCCTTCTGAAAACACATCATCAACGAAAGAAAATTAAACAGCAATGCTGTCATCAATTCATTGAGTTGGTATATCCTGGCCTAAAGGAAAGGGATGTGTACCAGCTTAAAATGGAAAAAAGTCTCACCAGTTAGTGCAGCTGAAGTGTTAGATCCAGCAGAGAGCTGTTTAAGCTGATGCTGGGATGTAAAAAACTCAATTAGATCAAAAGTGTGTCTATCTTCAGTATCACCAAGTCCTAGCTGGCCTTCATTATTTCCTCCAACTGCATATACTTTGCCTCCTTCTGCACATAGAAAAGAAAATATCAGTATACTACAGTCATCATCTTTATGAGACAGGCCAATATATACCAGCTATTTCCTCTATTAACAGTTAAAAGTGAAAACTGTTATTATCCTATAATTTGGTGCACAACTACATTTCATTGTTAAAAATGAAGGAAAACAAGCAAGGCTATACATCTTTGTGAGATTTTACAAATCATTCCAAAGTCCCAGTAGCAACTGAAATGCACAGAATGTGTGGAATGTATTTTCTTACTCATGCAGCCCTTTATTAACTCAGAGCAGAAGAGTAATTTCCAAATTACAGTCTAAAGCAAACTATTTTAAAAAGCTATGGTTCATTAATTTTAACTTCCATGCCCATTAAACTAAGATATAATAGGTAACAAATAAGTAAAATGAGGCAAATCCAAGAAGAATATAATTAGAAACATGAAAAGTCTATGTTGTATAATTTTTTTAATTTTATAGCTAACTAGAAAGGCAGTATATAGCTCTGTGTTTAGGAAGAAAGGACTCCAGAGCCATATTTCCTGGGTGCAAATTCTGGCTTGCCTCTTATCAGCTGTGTGACCTTAATCAAGCTGTACTTAACCTCTCTGTGTCTCCTTTTCCTCATCTGTAAAACATGGATAATAATAGTGCCTACTTCACTGAGCTGATATAAAGTTTAAATTAGTTAACATTTATAAAATTCTTAGAATAGCATCTGGCTCACTGGAAGCACTATAAATGTTTGTTAATTACTTTATTAAGAAATATATCATGCCTACATACTAAACATTACCATAAGCTCTGAAGTAATAAAGATTTTTTTTGAAACATGTACATATTAAAAATTAGTGATAGCCATCATAAAAATGCACATGAAGTTAAAGCCTCACTAAATAATAGGGGAAACTGAGGGCAAAACCAGCCTGAATCAGTAAAAATTAAAAATGAAATTTTTTTTTTTAAAAATGAAACCTAATTAAGGAAGCAAGGCTAGCTTTCAAATGGAACATACTACAAGGCCACATGGAATTGGACCACACAATTTACACATATGGAGTTAACAGAGTTGGTGAAATGCTTAGCATAGTTCAGAGAACCACATGAGTAAAAAGTTGAATAGTCACCAAAAGCTCCATGGATGAAGTAAGACTAATGCTGCATCTTAAAAGAATCTGAGGAAGAGAAAAGACATTTCAGCAAGGGAAAAGTCTGAATAGGGCAGAGAGGTGAGGAGGAGCCACAGTTGTGAGAATAGCCTAAAGACAGAAGCTGTGTGGAGGGGAAAGGAAGTAGTAAGGGCTGGATGGCCAGGGCCTAAATGTCTAATTGTTTCAGCAGCATTTGTTGAAAAGACTACCTTTGCTCTAATTGTGTTGGCACCTTTGTCAAACATTAGTTGGGCATGTATACGTGGATCTATTTCTGGATTCTATTCTGTTTCATTAATCTTTGTCTATCTTTTGGCTAATAGCACACTCTCTTGATTACTGAAGCTTTACAATAGGTCTTAAAATCAGATAGTGCTAGTCCTCCAGTTTTGTTCTTTTCAAAATTGTTTTGGCTATTCTAGGTCTTTTGTTTCTTCATATAAACTTAAGAAGCACCTTGTCAACTTCTAAACACACACACACAGCCTGTTTGGATTTTGATTGAAAGTGTGCTGATTCACATTAATAGGGGTTGATGTGAGGGTTGATGTGGCTGCCACTCACACTCAGAAAAGAAAAAGGAAGAGCAAGAACAGGAACAACCAGCCCCTGAGGTATGCACACAGATGAGGAGATGGTGCCCTTTGACATAGTCCAAGGAAACAATCTGCACATTTTCAAAGGCAAAAAAGTGTACTAACCACTTACATTTAAAAAATCCCAATCTTATTGTTGTTACCAAAGTATCACTTCTATTAATTTTACAAACTCACAAATATACTGGAACGAGACCTCGGTCCTCAAATTGGGCAGGAAGTCATACAGATTGAATACCATACCTGTTGCAACCAGGGTGTGGTTCCGTCCACAGGCAACAAGTTTCACCTTTTCAGATTTTAAAGCTAAAAATATGACAATTAATATATAAAATGATTATGAAAATGATAAATAATACAGGTCAAATGAAAAATAAGTGGTAGAACTGAGATTTAAATGCAGGTGTCTGACTGCAAGGTCGATGTTCTTAATTACTACACCAAAAGTTTTCAGAACTAGTTGTACATTAAAATAACCAGGGAAGCTCTGAGAAAAATACACCCCTGGATACTCTAAGTTAGCAGGTCTGAGCTAAGCCCTAGGCTTCTATATATTTTTAAAAACTCCACAGGTAAGTAATATGTGCTGAGATCCACTGCATTCTGTTATGGTGCCTCCATACCAACCTGATCTTTTACTTAATCTGCTATCACCATCAATCTCACCTATCTCACGCAATGAAACACTGTAAGTCCAATATTCATAGGCATACACCTTTGTTAAATTTCTTTATTCATTTATTTACACATTAACAAAAACCTTTATATAACATATCCTAAGAACTTAGCACAGTGTCTGCAAAGATCACTAAGACAGAGTCCCTGGTGTCAAAGATCTCATAGTCTAGACAATCCTGTTAGCTTGTCTATCAGATAAGATATTTAGAGTAAAAGTCATAGGCACTGTGAATACACCCAAGGGTTTAGTAGACAGTGCCCAATAAGTACTTTTTGACCAAGTGGAATACTTTAAAAGTTCAATAATACCACCTATAAATAGCAATGGATATGATAAATTACACTGAAATTTTGAGCTAAAATTCAAAATTTGGCTAGGAAGATAAAGAATGCTGCTCTTGCCCTGGCCGGTTTGGCTCAGCGGTTGGAGCGTTGGCCTGTGGACCAGAGAGTCCCGGTATCGGTTCCCGCTAGGGGCACATACCAAAAAAACAAAACAAAAACAAAACCAGAATGCTGCTCTTTTCACATCCCAAGGAATCTCCATGACCGTTCAAGTTTAGCTGATGTTCTGATGTTCTCAGGTTATCTATACCTAAACAGAAGCTTTCCATGTAATAGCAAAAAACTATGTGAAGAGATTATAAGCCCCTTATTTTCTGGGACAGTCCTGATTTAAAAATTTTGTCCTGTTCTTATAAGAAAATTAGTACTAATCAACTCCTAATCTCGATGTTTTGTTTAGTACATCTACTCACTAGATACGGCAGAGCAAAGTGTGTTTTATAAAACCAGCAACTACATAAAACCATGATGTCCTCAAATCTAACAAATGAGACAGAGCCCAAAATTCTAACATTATATTTTTTGTTCTCTCTATGTAGAATAGTAATATTTAAGTACATTTACAAACAGGGGGTAAAAAGAATCTTCAAGTGCAATACAGTAAAATCATTACTTCCTTTGTGGTACCTGGGTTTAAAATCAATGTGATTTTTAGACCCTAACATATCATAAAAATAAAGTTTAATGTCAATAATGCTCAAGTGCATATCAGAAACTAAAGAACTAAAGGCTTTTTTTTTATAATATAGTAAAGACTAGACTACACAATCAATATAAAAGCACTTTGGTTTGTTAAGTATGTAAAGTGATAAAAAAGACCCCAAACCTTTGACACACGTTGGCTTGCAAACAGCTGACTTTGATCCTAATCCTAACTGGCCCCAGTTGTTACTGCCAAACATGTAAAGTTTACTATTTCCTGGTGGAAAGGAAAGAAGAAATAATAAATGGAAGCATTTTCAATATAAAGTTATATGAGATGAAGTCATTGCAAATTAATAAAAATGCTACACTTAAAAAGTGTCACTGTTTTCCATACTGAAATAGGTTACCTTGTCCACATACATATAGCCAGATTCTGTTAAATGTAAAAGAGTTTCTAAGATTACATCATAATAGTATTTTTTATTATATAGATATATTAAAATGAATTTATTGCAAGAATGTTGTGTGTATTGAAAATTATATTTCAATATACTAAGGGAACTTTAAAAGACTCAGTTGATGAGTCAATTTGTCAAGAATTATCTGGCAAAATAAAATAAAAAAAAACGTTCTATATTATTTTCAATATATACAAAATACTATAATATTTAGGATTTTAATATTAATATTTAGGATTTTAATACTAACCGGTAATAACAGCAGTATGTTCATCTCCACATGCAAGATATGTAGGTATACCATTTTTAAACCAGAATTTACTGGGAATATTTTCAGCAAATTTAGTTTTTCCAAATGTAAACACAGCACCCGAATCTGCAAATATATGAATTTCTATATTACAACTTTTTCTATGTTGCATGTTACTAAAATAGTTTTTCAGTAATTTATTCAGATTCTGTGTCTTATGACAACTTTGCCTCTGCTACAGCACTGTTTACATCCTCCTTCCTCCACCTTAATTCAGTCTTACTCCTCACTCAGACTTCATTGTAATTTTATTTATGAAATATACTAAATTAAGTATGTATTACTCATTTACTGGTATAAAGTAAAATAGATACTATCACAAGGAGGGCAGTCCTCCATTACGAATAGTCCTGCTGTTACTAGGTGAACCTACTCACTCTGGTTAACATCTCATAATCTAGCCCTTGACTGAGGGCTTTTCTCCACACACAGAAACAGAACAGTACTAAGTTTCATGATTAGTACCACCAGGATGCAGGATGTTTGATCCAATACCTTTTTGGAGAATAAAACCCCTACCGGTTACCAATAATCATTAAATACACACCCCCCCCAAACAAGAGGCCAGATCCAGCTTTTGAGGAAATCTCAAGGATGATCACACAAAGAAACTAATGGGTACCAGAAAGGGAAACATAGTGAACATAAGTATTAATAATAAGTATTAATGCACAAGAGACTAGACACATGTAAAACCTTTTGAAAGCAATTAGGAGGCATTATCATTTCTAACTGATAACTAAGATGTGGTAGGCAAGGATCTAGAAACAGGCTCTGGGTTTACCTAGAATGAATAATTTTAACTTTTATTCCTGCTCTGGCTCCCTGGGAAACGTTCCCAGAAACCCTCACTCCAAGTCAGGGTTTGGTGGCTCTGCTCTGGTGCCCTGGCCATCTACTGTCAAACAGTATAGGTATTGTCATTTTGTTTATTTTCTTGTAGCCCTCACTAAGCTGTGAACCCCAAGAGGACAGGAATCTAATTATATTAGAATTAAAAGCATGGCAGGAAACGCAGTATTTATTTCAGTGAATGCATGATTCTACTTTAATCCACTGCTTGTGTTCCAGTTGTTGGTTGTGACTAATTAGTGGGTCAGAAAATCAGTTTAGTGGGTTACGATTAGCATTTTTAAAGGTGTAGAAAAGGTCTGAGTGCATCCCAAGTGGTTAAAGTACTGCTCTTCATTAAATGTCTATTTCTGTTATACAGCATCTACGGGGTCACGTACGTATGCTGTCAAAACGTCAAATGTATTTTAAGTCTCAGGGGGAAAAGTCTTTCAAAAATACACCACTCTCTAAGGGTTTCCTCTTCACCCCCTTTCTTTAAGTCGTTTTTCCACCCTTTAATCTCGCGCCCCCTCATCACCAGCTCTGTGGGGTATTTAGTACATAACTGGATCCTGGGGGTCCTAGAAAGGGGTACTTTGGGAAGTTAAAAGGCGGTAAAAACTGCCCTTAACTTCGAGGAACTGACAGACAGTTTATTTTTAAAAGAACAAAAAAGACAAACACCCCTTTATCCGTTGTTCGCCCTCAGGTCCCTCCCTTCCGTTCCTCCATCCTCAGCCGGTCGAGGGGGCGCGGCTACAGCTCGGGCCCACGTCGGGCGGCCGCAGCCCAGGACTGTCCCCCGACGGGGCAGGCCCAGAGGCGGGGCCTAGCCGCCCGCCCTCCCGCGAACCCTCCCTCTGGGCCCGCCGCCACTACCGCTGAGGAGACTCACCGGGCACTATCTCCTCAGGTTCCCCCATGCCGAGAGCGATCCGGGGAATCCGTGCCTGGCCCGGGAAGATGGCGGGGGCGACTCGGTTGGGCCTAATGTAGTACCCCGACCGGGACCGGGGCCGCGGAAGCCCCTCGGGCTTCCATGGCGACACTCTGGGCATCTGAGCCTACCGCGTTCCCGGAAGTCAACAAACAGCTACCTAGGGCAACCGAGGAGGAGCGTTAAGGCGCAAGGCGGGGCGGAGCGGGGCGGAGCGGTGCGAGGCGGCGCGGGGCGGTGCGAGGCGGCGCGGGGCGGTGCGAGGCGGCAGGAGGCGGCGCGGGGCGGGGTGGGGCGGGGCGAGGCGGGCAACCGGTGGCGCGCAGGCGCAGATGCAACGGCTTGTCGGAAGAGCCCGCGCGCCCTCTGGTGGCCCAGAGGGGAGGGGCGGCCACGCCGCGCAGTGATATCTGGGAGTGCTCAGCCCGCTCAACTCTGGTAGAGGTACAGGCCTTCAAGGACCCTGTCATGACAGTGAGAAACGTCACAAATATCACCTGCTCTCATTCGAGCTCTGTGACACAGGCAGGCGTCGACGCACAACTGTAATAATATCAGTAATGGCGACCATTTCTAATTAAATGAGATAGGCACACTGATAAACATCTTAAATCGCATTTGTATCCCCAGCATATAAACCAAAACCAGGCATTTTTAATGCTCATTAAATCTTTATTGAATGAGTCAGCCCTACTACAGCCCTGTATCGTAGTCAACTGTCCACCCTGTTGACAGATGTGAAGATTGTACAATGGGAGAGCTGGAGTCCAGTTTAGCCAGTCCAGCCTGTACGCTGAATGGCCCCATTGTGTTCTCCCACAGAAAGCTGAGGTGTACGGTCCGTGGCAAGAACAGGTTCAAAGAGATTTCAGCAACAGCAGAACATCATTGCTCTAGAATTTGCCCAGAGAGGTTATATTTTTCTTCAGTCAACCCTTAGTTTCCCGCATATCAACACTTGGCCATAATAAAACAGAGGCAGAAAGCTGTCTTCCAGGATGAGTGGATTTATGTACATGTGGTAGTTGTGGGCATGGGCTCTAGAATTAGACAAAGTTGGGTTCAAGGATTCCTGAATTCCTGTGTGTACTAAAGTGTGTTACTAAATTTTTATTTTTTATCCTCACCCGAGGACATTTTTCCATTTTTTGGTCAGATAGAGTGTGTGTGTGTGGGGGGGGGGGGGGCAGAGAGAGAAACATCAACGTGAAAGGAACACATTGAGTGGCTGCCTCCCGCACGACCAAACCAGGGCCAGGGAAAAACTGCAACCGAGGTACGTGCGCTTAATGGGAACCGAACCCAGTCTCTCTGGACTGCAGGCAAAAGCTCTAACCGCTGAACCATACCGGCCAGGGCTGTTACTAAATTTTTAAAGGGAGTTTACATTAAAATCGGGAGGGGAGATTAAACTATCCAATATACAAATAATCACTTACTTAAAGCAAAGTGGGAATTACTATGAAAGTGTTTGACAAGGAGCATTGACCTAGTGTGAGAGGTTAAGAAAAGCTTATCTGAAGGAAGGACTTTAAATGTAAAACTGAATCAGAAGAAGCTGGGAAGTTTGAGAGAGCTCTGGGCAGAGAGTAAACCAGTAAACCTAAACCACATGCAAAGGCTTATAAGGAGCTTGGCTCTTTCCAGGATGTCAAATAGGTGATACTGGCTCAGGGCAAGGTGGCAGGGTTTTGGACCTTTTAAGAATCTGAGATTTTATTCTAAGGACAATTGGATCAGTTGTGTGCATTCCTTGAATCATTCTGCCTGGCCGCTTTGTGAAGAATAAATTGGAGCAGGGAGTAGGGTTCAGAGGCTATTGCAGAAATTCAGATAAGCAATCACACTGGCTTGGAAAATGGAGCATTGGCACTAGAGAGAAGCAGGCAGATTTGAAAATATTTTAGGATGTAGATTCAACAGGAAATGGGATTTGACCATTGACTACTAGGCAGGGCAGGACTACCAAATAGAAGCAACAGCAAAGAAGGGCCCTAAATTATTTTGCAAAGTATTGGATAGTCTTTTTTAAAGCATCATTGTAGTCACAATGGGAAAATCAGAATTCTAAAGACTTACTTCAGTTAAGATATACTTTAATTTGTTTTTTATTTCAAAATATAGTTATGCACATTTTGGTGCCGAGCACTTGGGAAGGTAATGATGCAACCTTACTCCACTCCCAGGTTTAAAAAATAAGCAGACAGGGGGAGGGTGGTGCCCCCTGAATTTACTGAGATGGCGAACACTGAGGAAGGAGCAGGAGGGATTGGAGTTAGGTAGTTCAGGCAGGGAGAACATGACAGTTCATGGAATCAAAGTGGAGGTTCTACGCTGAGCAGGCGATTGAGCAAAAGCTCCAGATGGAGGCACCATTTTGGCAGATGCCTGGGTCTAGGTGGTGATAGCAGCCTTGGAAAATACTGGTAGGTGAATGACAGCAAAGCAACTGAGATTGAGAAGAAAAATAAGGTTAGAATGTGATGTTCCGAAGGCCCAAATTTAAATGCCCAACAACAGACACTGAACCGGTAATGGAGATAGTGTGACGACAGAGGGACAGCATACAGAATAGGGTTTCAACAATGAGGCTGTGGTCCATTGTACTGAGTGATACTGAGATATCAAGTAAGGTGAAAACTAAATGCCCCCTGAATTTAGAAATACGGAGATCATTAGTGGTGGTGAAAAGAGCTGTTTGATAGAGTGCTGGAGGAGGAAACAATATTGGAGTAGTCAGAGTGGGAGAAGCTGAGAGAAAGAAGAGAGGGTGAACTTTTTGGAAACAGAAGATGGAGATGGTCTAGGAGAGAACGGGAGATAGTAATTGGAGGAGGAAGGTAAGGGGATGGAAAACTTCTGTTAACTTGGAAAGACTTGAGAACATTGAGAGGTAAACTGAATAGATGGGGAGAAAGCACAGATTCAAGACAGAAATAATCAATATAGTAAGAGAGGAAGAGATGGCATCCAGACTTATGTGGAAGGGTTGGCCTTAGCCAGAAGGAGAAACACTACTTTTAGCATAACGAGTAAAAGAAGGAAGTCTCCTTTCACAATATGCTATATATATTGATATGTATGATATAGATTTATATCATATATATCATATAATATATGATTATATTATTGTCTATCTCAGATGGTTGTTGTGAGATACTAGGTAACATGTAGAATTTACAGCTGGGTGCTTGCAATAGAGTACTCTCAACAGTATTAGCTATTACTAATAAGACAGAGTTGTCTACATTTATTGTATTTGTCAGCAAAACCCAGGCTATGCTGCAATGCAAACAACACCCCAATCTCAGTACTTAACACCAACAGAAAGTGTCTTTCTCACTTATGCTATATGTCCAATATGGGACAGCAAGGGGTTCTGCTCCACCTGGTCCCTCAGGAGCCCAGGCTACGGATAGAGGTTCAGCCATCTGGTAGCTCACATCATCACATATGGTACCATATGTGATTCCAACCTCTTTGGTTGCTGTAACAGGGCAAGAGAGAGAGGGAGCAGGATATTCAATGTCTCAGGCCAGAGGTAACACATGTCACTTTCTCAACAACCCATTGGCCAGATCCAGTCTTCTGTGTCCCTTTGTACTGCAGGGAGGCTGGGAAATGTGGGAGTGCCCATGACATTCAGTGAGTAGTAAATACTTCTGCCACGATCCCTGTAGCCAAACGGTTTCAGCCTGTGGAGTCACCTGCCTTGTGTTGGAGAAGACAGAGAGTTCAAAGGGGTATAATTGTATGACTCATTTGATGCCCCTTTCATACATGGCCAACTGCTAATATACTTCTCAGGAAATCATATTGATATACAGAAGTCACCACCCACTTGACAACATGTACAACTCTTAGCAATTTCCCCTATTAATTCCAGTTGTTATTCATTTCTGGAGCATTTTGTATCAACTAAAAATAGAGGCATGTATGAACAAGCAAGACATTTGATGGATTATGTTTTTCAGCTGAACTAGTTCCTTTTTTTGATAGTAATCAACAAAATTTCCAAGTATTTTGAGTTGCATTACAATGCAGCTGTCATCACTGTTTATTTCTGTATTTGGAATCAGATAAACAGGTGTGCCTCCTCTTTGAAAACTCTAGTATGAAGTCCCATAAGCGTCCAAATTTACAAATTAGATACTAATGGCTTCTTTTATTTCTGAATTTTAGTGGTGCAGTTCCAGAATACATGAACTAAGAATGCACAAATCCAAAGCCAGGGAGTTTTATTTTAAAAAAAATATATTTTCTTCCAGCCTATGGCTTGCCTTCTTCAAACTTTAAAGAAGAGAAAAGGGACAAAAATAAAAAGAACCCAGCCAAAAACAAAAACAAAAACAAAAAACAATGAACAAAAATAGGGAGTTTGTACAAAAAATCCAATTTTAAACATTTGAAAAGATAATTAACTCTACTATTAAAAGTGAAAATAAAACAATAAAATTTATTTATTTATTTTGCCTATTAGATTGGCAAGGATTAAAAAGACTGCCCAGTCTAGTTAGCAGGAGACACAAACACATTTATTCACAGTTCATGGGAATTTAAAAAGGAACATCGTGCCCTGGCCAGTTTGGCTCAGCGGTTGGAGCGTCGGCCTGCGGACCAGAGAGTCCCAGGTTCTAGGGGCACATACCAAGAAAAATAAAAATAAATAAATAAATAAATAAAAGGCACATCCTTTTGAAAAGACAATTTGGCATTATAAATTATCTAAATTTTTAACTGAATTTATTGGGGTGACATTGGTTCACAAAGCCATACAGGTTTTCAGAGTACAACTCAACAAAACATCATCTGCACACTTCACTGTGTACCCATTGCCCCAAAGCAAAGTCTCTTTCTATCTTCATTAATCCTCACTTTGCCCACCACCACCCACCCCTACTGGCTTTTCCCTCTAAAGGCATATAATTCTTACTCATAATCACTTGTATAAATAAATTCTTCCAGAATGTTTTTCTACAGAAGTATACTAATTTTCACCAAAAATATGTTTATTGCACCAGTTTGTTAGACTGAAAAAAATTTTAAAACACCTAAGTGACTTCAGTAAGCTAATGAATAAGTAAATGATTGGACTTCCATACAATGGAATATGATGCAACCATGAAAATCAGTGTTACAGTTTTATGTGTA